ATAAACATGAATTCAGAATCAATGTTCCCGTATCTCCATTGCGTTTCTGTTGTGAAACGAAGAAATATGCTCGTCTTACTTATTTTTTAGTTCTCATCATCGGTCATTTATTTTAACTAATTTATTTTAACTAAATTTGTTATAACATTTTTTTATGTTTAATATATTTTAGTTAGAGAAGAATTGAAGTTAAATAAAAATATTCTAAATAGATTTTAACTTTAGAATTATTAACTAAAATGTGATAGTAACATATAAAGTGATGTCTTTATTATGACAAAAGACGAATTCTGGTCACTACCTGTACTCATAATCGTAAAACATTAGCGTTTGTCTAAATATTGCATTTAATGTTTAATTTCTGTTTGGTTTTATCAAAGTAATCTATTTTTCAAAGAGGGAGATCTCGATTTACAGGATTGTAAAACACTTAGGCGAAGTAAAGTAAAAATGCAATTCAACTTGAGCATTTTCTTCGACAGCACGAGCGCTTATATTTGACTCAAGAACAATACGCGTTAGTCAGAAAATGTTGAAGGATGCTGAATGAAGTAGCAGAAAGAATGAAGGAACAGAGAAACGGGGATGGTATAATAGTGGCGTAGATCGCGATAGAAACATGAATAAAGTAGCCTCGCAGCCGCGCGTGCGACAATGAACAAATGACGCGACACGAGCCGCATGGCTTGCCAGAGAAACGTCGGTCTGCTCGCCATCGGTGAAGCGAGCACCGAAGCTTGTTTGGCAAGAGGCTCCGATTCGAAAGCCTCTCTGTGAGGACATGTGCGTTCAGCTTGATCGTGCCACTTGCAAGCCATCGTAATGTCGATCGACTATATAAGTTGTCTGCAGCAGAGAGATAACAGTTGCATCACTACTGAATTACAATCGATTTTAAATGGCGTACGTCAGCGACCATTAAATCTTTTGCATTCATATTTTTTACACAATATTTCTCGTCACAAAGAGAATTATAATTTAAAGCAAAACAATGAGATTAATTGATTGCTTTATATATACTCCATATTATGAGCAAGTATTATACTGAGCATGTATACTTATAGTATGTGTGGCTGTAATTTTTATGTTACACAAGATTGTAACATAGACGTAACAATTTTAAGTACTATAGTTATATAAATATTTATTGAGTGTCACAGATATTTACCCTTTTGACGTACTAAGCTCCAGTGCCGTAAGTCGATTCAACAGTTTTCTCTGCTAAAGAATCGGATTTTTTTTTCAAATGATCAAGTAGGACTAACAATAAGCTCAATTTAACAGATGAAATCAATTTTTGTCAAAAGCGATAGATTTGTTAGTCGCGGCACGAGTAAAGCTGAAAGCCCACGTTGTGCTTTGTTTTTCATTTGCTTTGCGTTGCCAGGGTGGAAGGTATCGTGGGTAATCATAGTTGTCAACGTTATTATAACCGTTATTCTCATTAATGCTGTTGTTCTTGTTGCATTTGGACGAGCTACAGGAGAAAACGAACAGCGGATTCAATCTTTTTTGGATTCATACGAGCTTGGAGTCGTGAAACTGTAGCTCTGAATCTTTTTGAGACTTTATTGATTGCCTGTTTAACTCACAATAACGTGTACCTAATAGGCTCTTTAAAAAATTGTGGCCGCTGTTTGCATTCGACCAGTGGCTGTAAAAATGGAATACTCGTTCACACGCAAGAGTAATAACGATAGGATCATGCAGTATCATGCAAAGTGTTGCTGTACGTTTATTTGAAAGTCGAACGGCAAAGCTATTTTCTAATCGATCATGGTTTTAATTAGCTGTACAAAACATATTATTTAGTTATTTATAAAATATTTCACAATGTAGTTAGGTTTAAGTATTTTTTATAAAGTTACAATATCATTTGTATAAAAACTGTATATAATATAAAGTCTTTATACAAATTATATTGTAGAATATAATGAAACATTTTTAGATAATAGAATAGAAAATATAATTAGGAAAGTACTTTCTCTTATTGTTAGAAAAATAATATAATTACACAAAATAATAAGTGTAAAACATTACAAAAAATAAAATTGCACAAATAAAAATTGTCCTTTTATTTTTTTTATGAAATTATGTAGAAATATATAAATATATATTCAAGTTGTTGATTTGTTTGTACGAGATATCATATATTATATGTATAAAATTATTCTTTATTGTGCAAGAAAAAAGAGTAAAATTTATGTTTAAACATAAAAGTTTTGCGTCGACTTTCCATAAATCGTACAACTTTACAAACGCTACAATCCATGCACTCAACTTTATTTTTATCTACGTGTAACTCGATTTATTCCTAGGTGCTTTGAAATTTTATTAATATTTAGGCTCTTAAGTGTGCGCCCATTTCTAAAAAATCTTTAGCAAATTTTTGTGTTGTTAAACTTTTAGAATAAATTTCTAATTTTTAGAATCTTTAAGTTTTCAAATTCTAGATAAGATTTTCTTATAAGTTCAGTTACAACATTCAACAATGAATTCAATAATTTTTGAATTTAAGGATTCTTATTCAAAAAGACTCAAAATTCTTTATATTTTTTAGAACAAAAGTTTGTATGTAGCATGAAATGGAAATTTTAATTATTTTGTTATCCAAGTTCTATATCTCTCTGTCTAATTTATAAATTTTCTAAGACTTTCAAGATAAAAAGATATTTTTAAAAGATACATTTGTTTCGAAAAACGTGCGCATATGCAGTTAGATAACTTCTGGAAGTTGAGAAGATCATCCTCGCTGCTCGTCGATTAATTCTCTCTGCGTTTGTCGGCCTTGTCTGTCGGATGTGCATGCTGCAACCATGCCTTCTAAAGTAGAACGTCTTTCTATCGTACAAGCTCACCTTCTATTGTAGAGTCAATCATCTCCCATCTCTCTCATTTCGAGTATAAGAATGTTTTTTTTTTCAGAATGGTCAAAAGGTATTTATGAGGAAGTTATAGAGTTATAGAATATAACGATGTGATAGAGTAAGAAGAATGAGAGAACAATACCAAAGAAAAGTAATTAAGTTATGTGAAACAAAGAAAGGGAGAGGAAGAAAGAGAGAGAGAGAGAGAGAGAAAGAGAGAGAGAGAGAGAGAGAGAGAGAGAGAGAGAGAGAGAGAGAGAGAGAGAGAGAGAGAGAGAGAGAGAGAGATATGATGTATAGAAGAGTGAAAAAGAGAATCATGATTGGATACAATCAAGGAAGCGTTCTGCTAAATCAATTGAATTGCACGACGAATAAACGCCAGATTTGTCACTATAATATTATCGATACTGTCATATAATTTTATGATGATTGCAACACGATATATTATCAATATTACATTATAAGCCTTTACATTTTAAAAGTTATTGTGTAGAACAATACAGACCTCTGACTAATAATTGTGCAGAAACTAATACATAGAATGTAGCAATAACTTTATTCACTTAAAATATCACTATTACTTTTGGATATACAAAAGTATTTTATCTACAGAAATATTGTATGGCATATTAAGAGGATCGTAATATGCTGGTAATAATTTTTCTGCGGGTGGAGGTCTTTCGGAGATTTCAAAGTTTAAGTGAAATTTAGAAAAGTCATATTATGTTAGAAAAACCATGTGATTCCATTTTAACGAAAAAGAGTGATAATCTTTAAATCTCGGAAATGCTTTTCAAACAACAAGAAAATTATTATCAGCATATTATGGCTCTCTTGATACCGTCATTCGTAATTAAAATATTTTTATATCTAAAAAAAAATAGTGATGTTCCAGATTGATAAAGTTATTGTCCCATCTTGTACATAATTAAGTAAATTCGCGCAAAAGACATTAAAAAATACATAATTCAAAAAAATTTCCTTCCAACATTTCTGTTATATAAGTATCTATATAAATCTATATATAAAGATGTAATAAATTACACAAATTTTGGAATTATAGATTTCAGATATTATATGTACAAAAAGTTTTACTTTTCTATTTTATTGAACTTTTAATTAAAAAATTAAAAATTTCTGAAACTATTATATATTAATATTTTTTATGTAATACGTCGTGTTTAATCGGCGTCCATACCTCGTGCAATTTTATTGTGCTACTTCATAAATTTTCGCATCGAACGAAACTCGACCAGTCGCGTCGAACATTGTCGCATTAGAATAAAGGAAATCACATAGTGAAGTGCATTGTTGCATTGTTGTGAGAAAAATCCAAGAGCTAGAGTATCCACATTTTGTTTCTTCTCTTTATCGTAATATTAGGGTAAATGGCTAAATCATCATCGATGTTCCTAGACGACAGTCGAGTACATGCAACCCATTAACGCCGAGGAAGAAATTTATATTCTATTTATTAATTATAACTTTGTTTTTTGTTAATTATTTAAAAGTATTCAAGAAAATATGAGCGCAATAAATGCTTAAAATAAATTATGTAATTGCACAATATTTGAAGCCTCAAGAATGCTAGATTTAAGCAAGGAATATTGTAGAATTATATAATTTAAGTAAATAACTTGCAATACACGTCAAATAAATTTTACAAAAATAGTTAGGTTTCTTAATAGGATTGTTGCATTAAATCAAATTTGAATGCAATTTCTATCACTCAAATTTAGATTATTTAGATTACATAATTTAATATTGAATACTTTATGTTATATTTTGACAACTCGTTTTGTTCTTAATAAAATTCCTTCCTCGATGTTTATGTTACGAATGTATTGCAATATGATGCTAGCCGTGCTTGCTCAAAGAGCAACTAATAGAGAACTCGGACTCGCTTCGAGAATATTAGAGAAATCGATTAGATAGTATTGGGATGATTTCTACACGAGAAACGCCTAGGTACTATCGATGCTGTCTAAGGCCAGTGATCGGAACGAACGATGCACACAAATTGGACAAATCTTGCTATAGAAAACGAGAAGATTAAATTTTTTTTATTACAAGTTGCAGTTTTTTTGTAATGATCTAATCTTATATCAAATTTCAAGATAAGTTTATATTAAAATTTATTATCGCTATTTAACAACATTTTTTTTAGCTTTCTTTCAGCTTTCGTTTAAAAGTATAATTTTGTGCGCGGCCTAGCTGTCATATATTGCATTTACCCCGAAGGGCCTGTCTTCCGAGGAAAACATAAGTTAGTTAATAAAATTAATTTGAACTATATTATAGCGAATGATAAAGTTTCTTGGAAGAATACATGAATGTATCTTGCAGACATCTATAATATTTATATATACATATATATATATATATATATATATATTTCTTTTCGGCGCATTTAACATGTACCGAACTCATCTTAACATTCTCATTTTCTATTATGCATATAGTAACTATCGTAAGATATGCAAAACTTCGATAAAATTTTTATATTATACAAATTTAATATATTCAATTTGTATGCGATCCAACGGATCGATAACACGTGCTTGAAAGAGGCACGAAATTAATGATTATAATGATACACGCCAATCGTTCCGTCTCTACATGCTCTATATGCTTTCTTGGCCTCTTTCTTCAATCCTTCGAAGGATCTTAAGCCTTCGAAATCGAAGCCAACTCAATCGTTCGTTCCGACGAATGGTCGTGTTGTCGAATCGCTAAAAATTTCTACAAAGGATATGATATGGCACCACTGCGATGGGTGGATCGAATTAATTGGTGTTATACGATGTGATTATTGCAACGTTCTACAAAGCAAGCGGAGGCTCCTAAGACTGCCGAACGCAGAACAAGGATGGTCGACAGGATCAGCAGGAGTACGGGATTCGAGCGCGAGGTCGGGGGTACACGATTGCACATATCCTCCTCACAGAAGCACATGTGACCAGTGCCGGTACTTTCCATCATGCACACGTGGTCCACCATGAATAAGTTTATTTGTAGCTGCGCGGTGCACGTTCTCCTCACGCTCTCGTACGCTGCAAACAAAGGAGAATAATAAGCAGCAAGTAAATTCCTGCGGACGTGAAAGTCTAATTTATATTTATATTCATTAATTTATGTTTATTATTATATGTGTATAATCGGTAGTATGATAGATTATAATACTTTATTATAATAATTTTTTAATACATATATACATATACTGTTTGCCATCCCAACAAACAGATTATAACTGCAATGTTGCTGTAATAATATAACATTCCAATTTGCAAAAAAAATATTACAATCTTGCTGTAATATTGCGATTATAATTTGTGTTTGCTGGGATAATACCATAATTTACTAATAATAAAAGTCACGGAAGTATCCCTCTTCGATTTTGATGAGCTTTCAATATGTTATTGATTAGACAAAGAAAAGAATACATATTTTTTTTATATTTGTACGCACTTTTAAGCATCTTTTATAAAAAAAAATTGATTATTCTCTTTCAAAGCGAATATCGTCGAAACGATATAAAAGAGAAAAAAAATGTTTTAAATAAGATATGATTTGAAGAGTAAGTTTATAATAGTAATAAAATTTTTTTAGTTTTTATTGTTTATATACCTTTACCACTTAAAAGTTTTCCAAAACTTTGAAAATTTTTTAACCAAATTAAAAATTATTTTAGTACAAATTCAACCATATATGATAAAGTTATTTTCTAATATATCATTAAGCGATCGAGAATTAATTATAAACGTCTCTGTTTGCGCTCGATCCTTCATGCGCTTTCTGCTTGCATAATAATTTTTATCGCGTTCTTTTCACGTAATAAGATAACGATGGAAACAAACATATTTCGATATCGTATATGTATAATTATTATTATCAATGACGCTGCAGTCCAAATTGAGCTTATTTGGCCTATCACTCTCTTAGTCTGCGCAATGCTGACACAGGCTTATATGGGACCTAACATTTTAAAGCCGATTCCGAACGGCCGTTTTGAAAGAGGTTTTCGCGGCAAAGGATATTCCCGGTGATTTGCCAGACCTCCAGAAAGGAGATGCGTGCGTATGAAAATTTGTTACATCGTTCTACCGGGAATCGAACCCGGGACCTTTGGCATAATAGAAACCAGTACGCTGCAGTGCGCTGTCTGTTACGCCACACTCGCCGTATGTATAATTACGGAAGTTTTTATGGCTAGACGACGTACATAACACTTAAATATGTAATAGAATCGTAGTGTCATGATTGAAAGTTCCTTAGTAACCAAAGTACCAAGTAATCAAAGTATATATATCTATACTAAATACGCAAGCGCAGCAAAATTACGCACTATTTCAATGTAAAACCACTAGTTGATTTATGTAGATGCAATGGTTATAAAATACATGTTGCGCTTATATCAATTACATTTATATTTTACAAATGAAACTAATATCTTAAGAAATCATAGATTCTTTAATGCTGTATTACTTTAGTTTAAAGCCAGTGAAAGAAATTAAATCTCAAGAAAATTAAAGATTACAGATAAATACATATAATGATAATGAGAATGTCGTGAGTAAAGTTTCCCTGGTGAAAATAAAAATCAAAACATAAGTCGAACGTAAGGGGAGAGTGACAGAAGCGTAAATGAAACTTCTGGGAGGCGAAAATTGAAATAGCGGAATGTAAAGGAAGCGTTAACGCTTCTGTCACTCTTCCATTACATTTGACTTACGCTTTAATTTTTATTTTCACCAGGGAAACTTTACTCATAACATTCTCATTATCATTTATCTTTAACTTTTAATTTTCTTGAGTTTTGATTTCTTTCACTGGCGTTAACGCTTCCTTTACATTCTGTTGTTTCAATTTTCGCCTCCAAGAAGTTTCGTTTACGCTTCTGTCACTCTCCCTTTACGTTCGATTTAAGTTTCAATTTTTATTTTCACCAGCGTTGTACACAATGTAAGCATACATCGTTACGCAAGCAGTAATATGAAATGCTAACGGTTTGCGAGTGTCAGTTGAGTATATGACATCATGTATCAGTCGCTAAGTTAGAAGTAGACCGATATTTTAAAAGAAGAATGCTAGAAACATATAGGAAAATGATCTATTGCGTTGCAGGTCGAAACAGATACAAATTAACAGGTTTTGATGCATAGATCAAAGTTGTCAATGAATACAATGTTGTCAGAATCATTGCGTCTATCAAGAGTCATGGAAAGATCAAAATATTGTCAAAATATTGTTAAAGCATTTAAGTTTTTTGCTAAATGCAAATATACCTATTAAAGTTATAGATTATATAATAAGCATTTAACAAGACAAATACAATGATATTATACTCAAGTACAATACAGTCATATACGGGTGTTTTATTTCAATCAACTCAATTTTTTTCGAAATTATATTTATGATCCAAAAAAATTGTTCCAGATGAAAGTGGAACAATTTTCCTTCGAGAGGGACGTATTTTGGTGTAGTTATTTTTTTTTTTTAGGTGGAGGCACTAAAAAGATATGAATATCCTTTTTTAAATAACTTTTTTTTACGTAATATGAGTCCTCTAATTATTCTGCATAAATAGTATTATTAAAATAATAATAGAATGCCCTCTAAAGCATTAAATGCAGTTGTTGTGGCGTAAATATTTGTTTATTATAAATATAAAGAACAAGAAATTAAAGTATTATTAAAGTTATCAAAAAATCAATTCTTTACGAGATATTTTATTTTTTATCGTGTTATATTTCGTGACATAAAACATGAAATATCTTATAAACTATTTATTTCTTGATAATTGAAGCTTTATTTTAATGCTCAGAATAATAAGATAAATCGATCAATGTAAATAAAACACACAGTTGCTTTAGAAAAAAATGCAATTTTGACGATATTTCTTTGAAAAAGAATAATCGATTTTCTTTAAGAAGAATTTATTCCTTAAAAGTATGTATAAAAAATACGCGTTTTTGTTTAAACAATAATATATTAAAGCTCATCAAAATTGTTGGGGAACACTTTCGTAATCTTTCTTGCAAAACGTGTTTGAATCGTGATAATTATAAATTATTTTTTCAAAAAATCTTTTAAGTATAATCAATTAAAGTGTATAGTCCGAAAATTATGGAAAATCTAATAGATATTTTTATTCTTTCTAGAAAAAGTGGATTTTTTTATAAAGATGATAAATGTACTTACGTGATTTTGCGTTGCGGACCATTTTTACGCAGCATCCGTTACATGTCATTAACGGTGGCTGGTCTCTGGGTAGTGCCGTATAGTTGAAAGGATCCTTGCATCTGAGATCCGTCCATGAATCGCATTCATAGCAGTAAATGGAACGAGCTGTGAAACAGATGTGTTTTCAAAGACCATGTATCGTCTCCATCGCGCTCGGGAAAGAATGTACGCGAAGTCAAAAAGTATGATAATCCATCTACGATAACCACTTATTTTTAACAACATCCAATTTGTTTATATATTCTTGCCCTCGTTTAGTGCTAAACATGACTCTGTGATATTTTGTTAATAACAAAAGTAATTAATAATAATTAGTAATGAATAATTAATGATACATTTATATAATGCATACATATTATACTATAATACATATTAAATGAGCATTATAAACGCTTGTAAATGATTTACTTTCAAATAAGCAGCCATATTTAACGCTAAATAAGCGGTTATATTAGACTTAAGAGTATAAGTCGTTATATTATACCTATAAAAAAAAGATCAAATAAAATCGAAGTCGTCAAGTGCACGATTGGAAAATTTCTTACACTTTGCGGTCACATAGTTTCCCGAGTGCACATCTTTTATGTAAGACCTTGCGTATCGATGGGCACGCGCGTAAGCTCAAAAAAAAAACGAGTTATTAAGCATCGTTCACTTTTTCACGGCACAATAAAGAATTAAGCACAAGCGCGCTTCGGTGATGTGCTTGATGAAATTGGACGAGAATAAAATTAATTTGTGTCATTCGCTGAGCGATACCTATATGATTTACAAAGACTTCTCATGATTTTGAAAATTCGATCGTTTAAATATCTAACTGTGACGCTTTGCCAAGCGAAATGTTTTTCTACTACGCAATTCTCGTCCAGTTCGGGACGTAAGCAATCTTGATCGTATAGTTTTAAAAAAACTGCTTTTTTCAAATTGCTGGAAAAAACCAGAAAAATTTCGGTTTCTTTCCGAAAAATTGGTTTCTTTGCGAAAAATTGCTATGTAAACGATATACTGTCTAATTTTTAATATTTTTTATCATATTAAATATGAATTGGGATTTATAAAATAATGTACGTGACTTTATGTAATTTATTTACTCGTTAAAATGTGTAAATTTTTTGTTTAAATTAGATATAAGCTCTTATAAGTTATAGCTCTCGTATTTTATAGCATTATTAAGATAAGACACCTCGTATGAACGCTGGAATTAATAATGAGTTAATATTTATGTTTACATTTGAATACTATATTCCTTGAAGTGAGGATTATTTATTATTAAATAAACTGTTTTAGGAAAACAATTCTAACAAACAGTGTAAAGATTAATTAAAACTGATATTTATATTAAGTATTTTTAAAGAGTTTTGATTATTAATGATAATTGTCAAGAGCCATACGTTTTATTTGAAAAATACATTAACTCTGTTTTTTTATTTCTTTTGTATTTAACATTATCAGCAATAAATATATACTTAATTGTTATAAAATTTTAAAATTTTGAAAAGCGTATCAAAGTGTTGCAAATGTGAAATGTGATAGGTTTTATGAATGTCAAATGTATATGTGAAATTTTCCATTGAATTTTTCTACCTCTTTGGAAAGAAACCGAAAAAATCCGTGGAAAAATTAAAAAAAAAACCGGTTTTCTTTCCTGCCTTTAAAACTATACTCGATCGGTTAACTCCCGATAGAGAACGCTTTTCCACCCTGTGGAAAGAGGTGGATACTCCGACAAGAGTCACTTGGCCGCGGACGTATTCGAGTTTTCATCGAGCTTCGTCGAGTCCCTAGCGAACGAGTCCGGCGACACGGTACGGGCATACCGAGGAGAGTAAGCTGGCTTAATCACTCACTCTGGCACTCCGCATGACAGACGTTGGCAACCGCGAGTACAATTGCCGCTGAAAACGAAAGATTCGTTACTGGCTTTAGGCAATGTGCGTCGGCGTTGTGCGCAGAGGTAGCTAACTTAAGTAACACTCGATGTGTTCGGTGTGGTAAACGCAAGCGAGAGGACTAACGCTATTATGTATGTACAATATATACGGCTACGGTGGTTGTGACTACCATTACAACCGCTACTATCTCTATAGCGCGGCTCTAGCATACCGATATTAAACGATGTCGGGGACCGCTGATTATAGTTGTGCTAGCTAATAGGTAATGCTATCACTCGATTGATCAAAGAGGGACCGTGCGGCAGTCACGTCCAGATTTTTCGGTTCGCTGGATGATTCTAATCTTGCTGCGCTTTCGCTCTCGCAGATTATGGGGTGGTAAAGAATTGGTGACAGTGAATGGAGTATGGGGGATATAGGATGTGTGGAATGTGACATACATGCGATATAAACGTGTATATATAAGAAAGCATACTATAGAAAAGTATAGAATAGTAAATGGCAATATCTGGGGCGTGATTTACAAATCAAACTTGGTCGTACAGCTTTAAAAGAGCCTTGAAACATATGTTAAATTATATGCTTATGGAACAAACGTTTATTTTGAAGAGACAAGCTTGAAAAGGCGAAAGCTAGAAATCTTACATAATATAATATAGATTGAATAGAATTTTGCACCAGTTAAAAATAATGCGTGAGTATATTTAGAATATGACGTAGGTAGTAATTCAACTTTGTCTCAATTACTTCAGGCTTTTTAATTCTTTCATATATCTTCGATAATTTTAATACGCGACGGTGTAAAAGGCCAAAGGATTAACAATTTCCACGCGTTACGTATAAAGAGTTATTTCAATATCGAGAGCAATTGTATTTTATTCGTTATATTTATAATTCGCCATGCAGAATAAGGCTGTTATAATTAATGTTTATAAGCGAGTAACGTTATAAGAGGTAAGTGAATTAAATCGACATTCTTATGCTTTCATGCCGTGATAAAATTTTGGCGATTATTGTACAGATGTACAGTATCTGCTATTGTTAAAGAAGCATAAGGCTATATCTAGTAGTAGGGGGTAGTGTAATGGAATATCAAGTATAAGAAATATGTACAGAAGATATACATACATAATAAGTATACAAAATACAGATAAGAGGGTGGAAAAAAATAGAGAAAAACACGCGTGATTAAGTACAGCGAGTATAAAAATATAGATAAAACAAAAATAATAAAAGTAGCTGCTTCTGCAAATATAAAATATATAAATTTAACGTTATTACAATTTGTAACATATTGCAAGTTTCTCCGCAAATGAGACATTCAGCAATAATTGTCTTTATTAGTGAACCAAAACAATTTGGAGATGCCTGACACACTCTTGAAAATATTTTCGCATTTGACTTGAAATATAGAGGACTTATATTTTAAGTTTATAAAAAATTTGATATTAAAATTATTTAATCTGTTAATAATCCTTATATAAGAAACAGTAAATGCACAATATCGATTTGTATATCTTTATCCTTTATATTTTTCTAATGCGATTTTTTTCTTCATGAATCTTACGTACGTACGATGTCCACGTACCTAGCAGCACGGAAGCAGCGGCCGTACGCATGTTGATTAATCTAATATATAACACTTATGATTTCTAGATCGTAATAGACTCATAGTAAATACAAGTAAAAGACCGCGGTAACCAATTAACACGATTAGATATCCGGGGTTATCGATGTTTTGTATTGACGTATGTAAACCACGATTATTTATTTGTATCTTAACATTTATGTTCTCGAAACTAGTTTAACATTAAAAGAACAGATATATTCTAGATATATGGATTTTTCTCTCCGAGTTTCAAACACAATTAATAGAGGATTATAATAATTATTCTAATTATTTCATTATATGAAATAAAAACTAGACATTGAATATGATCGAATTTGCGTAAGGGAGAAGCCTGTTTCAGTTCGACGATGCTACCTTCTTAAAATATATAGAAGAACCTTTCGGGATTAAATGGAAAGCTCATCGAGGACGCATGCACACTCACCCACTATCAAGTGATTCGTCCACATGCTGACAGCGGCAGGATCTCCTTACACTTTGTTTAGCTCCGCGTCATGTCGAGACTTTCTCAAACATCGAGCAGCGACCGATTAGAGCGAGTCGGTTCAACCATATACTTCGTGCCGTCCCTGAAATTACGAATCGATCTTCAAATTAAATTTAGGACAATTTCTGAAGACATTTAGATATCATTTAGCTATAAAGTATCATCTGTAATAAATATTTTATTAATTTCACTTTGATCTACTTAAACAAAAGCAAAAGAAATTGTAAAATGATACGATTAGATAAGTGCTCAAATTAGATTAATCTTTTATACTTGGCTATCTTAAATATAGCTGACAATGAGTATAAAAGAGTAATCTAGTTTATAAATTTTAAAATTTTATAAAAGAATAATAATATTCTCTTAAATTTTAATAAAATTCAAATTTGTTTTATAAATTCTGTAAAAAAAATTTTGGATAATATAGTAAAATTTGGTGTTTATTATATACTTAATTTATTTGTTAAAATATTTTTATATTTATTTTACTAATTGTTTGGCGCTATTAAAAATATTTTATTCATTATATTGGTAACATTTAATTAATGCGAAACAAAAATTAGTTTAACAAAAAGTTAAAAAAAAAGATCAGTTTTTTGAATTTTGATTTGTTAATTATTGTTGATATTTAGTTATCTGATATGTTTACTTGTTATTCTGAGTTTATAAGATAACACGTGCATATTTGAGAATTGTCATAACGTGAATGCTTAATTTAAGGCACTTAGCAGCTCGATGAGATAATAACGCACTAAACGCTTAACTGGTCACGCAAGCTGATATTACGATATTAATTTGGTAATAACAGCAATAAATATTAAGTAATTACGTAGCATTAAGTTGTAACGTTAAATGTTTACATGTTAAAAGATTTTTAAGTTAGAGTATTAATTCATTAATACATTGTTTATCTTAAAATCAATTAGTATATTCTATGATAAAAAATATTACATTCAAATACCTTTGAAATAAATATAATTACACAGCAAAGTATATGAGAATTCAGAAAAGATTGATAAAAACTTTGATATCATTATAAAAGCAGTTATGTAATCGTGATTTTCGAAATAATAAGAAAGCTATCAAAATACTTTTTTTATTTCTATTTATTTATTTTAATTCTTTGAAAAAACTAAGATACTTTACCTTTTTCTTTCATAAAAATTAATAAATGTATATTAAAGTGTTAATTTCCTTTTTGTATTTCAACATCTTCTGTTGAGTATTTATTATACTTTACTCGGCAGCAATAATTGCTGATTTGTTATTTAACACTTTCGAAAATTCTTAAGTCCAATTTCATAGATTAAAATCTTTATTTTATGTATTATTTATGCGTAAAATCATTAGATCTCATTCCACATTAATCACAAATTAACTTATAGGATATTTGCCAGCCGCAATTAGAATATGGGGCAAAACTGCACGAAATGCGTCACTTTATATCTGTGAAACAGGCCGGAAAGCAGATTTAACGCATTTATATGCCTAACTACATACTTTTATTGCACCACCGAGTCTAACAAAGTAGATGTCTCGTGACAACACTGGCGTCCTGTTTTCAAACGACGACACGAACACAAAATCTATTTCTTTTTATTGGTCATCCCTCGCGTGTCGCGATCTCAGATTCGATTGTCGAACCTCCAGAACGAGATCCGGCACGGCTCTGTGCCTACACCTCCTTCAAGTTCAGACACCCTAGCGCGTCTATCGACGAGTCTACATCATCGATGCATAGCGAGACGCACGGTGAAACGCGCGTAAACGAGGGTACGAGGGTATGCAGCACGATGCAGCTCGCGAAATCCCACGATCCGACTATGCGGTCACGATTACGCTGTATAAATGCAGCGTGCAAGCGCTTTCAGGGTACTGACAAGCGCGCTAGTCAACGCGCCGACCGGAGCACGGATTCAGGTCGATCAATATGACGAAGTCCGCCAGTCCGTGCCACGTGCTCACGTTGCGGCAACTGTACCGACGAAGCTGCTGCTGCTGCTGCACTCCGACGAGGGGTTTGCATGGTAGCACAATAGCTTATACGCCGACGGCATTCAACGTGAAGTTTTTAAAACAGAAGCGGTCGCGAAAGTTTAACCAATCGTACGATTGATGTTAGAATGGTCAAAGAAGGTGTCAATACTAATAATTTCCACATCAGGATCGGTCCATTGAGAAATAGCGCTTGCGCACTTTGACGTTCATTTTCTGCGAAGCTTCAAAGCTAGAACGATGACAACCGGAAATTTTGCTAAATTAAGTATACTAGGAAAAGATAAGTGGTTGAGTAAGCAAATAAAAAAGCGCAGGTGAAACGGAAAAATGCGCTGTAAAATTATAATAAAAGTAGGGTGCTAATTTTAGATTTTTGTTACACGAAAGTTGACAATTTTTTTACTTTGAGCCGTGACTTTTCTGATTGAATTTTTGAAACATTATTTATTTTTAAAACTCCCTCAGAAACATTTGAAATAATAAAAAAAAATTTTTATTCTGTAGAGTTGGTAAATTACAACTCGCGAGTCAATTCAGTCCGCCATTTGGTTTTATATGATGTAATTGTTACTATTATACTTTAAATTTTGTGGACAAAAAATTCATTTTCTTTTTTTTTATGTAAGTACATAATATCTTTGATTTTGTTTATTGATTCTTAAAAGTCTAAAAAATTTATTAATTTATCTAATCTTTTATAAAAAAAATTTTCTGATCTGTAACGTGTAAAAAAACATTTATTTGACAAATCGAAATTTATTTGAAAAATCGATGGAACTTTTCTTATATTTGTTTTCATTATAATAACAATAATAATAGCAACTTTTATTTCTTGAGCGGCTTTTCAAAAAAAACTAACGATTACTTTTAACAATAAATATTTTAAAACAATAAAAACAAAAATATAAAAGTTTTTATGATATTATAATTTAATCGCGTTTAGTGTAGCAAAAAACTCAGTGATGTTTTCGACAGACCAATTTTGCTATAAGTGTTGATGCTACTTAATTACAATTAATTTATAGTGATTAAGAAACACTTGTTTCAGCAACAATTATGGAACAATTAAGCTCAATTGTGAGAATGGACATCAATTTATTAATGTTTATTGTCATTAAAATGAGGAATTGTAATTTAAGGAATAACATGAATTTATAAAAAATGTGTTTGGATAAAATAATTATCAATTTTTTTGATATAACCTTTTATATCTTTTTTCAGTTTCTTTCAAAAAAATTTTATTAAATATCACTTAATATTTAATTAAATAATAATAAAAAATTTAATTATAATTATCAAATGAAAACTAAACATATTACTAAACATATATAACTAAAAAATTTACTAACAATTCGTCAAAAAATTTAAAAAGAAATTTGTGCAGCTGTATTCAAAAAGGATATAAAAAATTAAATTTAATATAAAAGTATTTGGAATGCAAACATAAGCAAGAGTTAAATAAGTGCGATGCAATTTGTGACGCCGTAAAATACGGAAGTACGCATTTCTTGCAATTACAAAGGTTTCTATATTGCTTCGTTTTCCCAAGTTTCCTTGCATCACTGTTGTTCCACTAAATTATTATTACACCAGTCATAGCGTGTAATTGGCATCGTTGCGGGTACTTTAATAAAATTGATTTACGAGACATCCGTCTATTTCTGTATCGTATTAGATCATTGAAAATTAAGTCTCATAGATTTAAGATATTTCAATTTAAGACAATGAAAGTGGAATAGCTTGGTTATAACTATATATTTTCAGTTTTTGAATAAATAAATAAATAAAATATACGAATTATTTGACTTACAATTAGTAATTTGTATGTTATCTCATTTTGTTAATCCAAAAATAATAATGGACTTTTTTTATGTTTTCCGTCGAGTGATGGAGGAATGGAGGCCATTTATCTTACTTTTCGATAATATAACACATGATCTTTATAGTTTTGTTTTCTAATCCAATTATAACTCAAATTCTTAATTAAATGATTTCATTAATTTTTCTAATGTTATAAATGTTTCTAAATGTAATATTTCTTAGTAGCACAATAGTGACAAATTCATTGGCGCAATATTGGACAATATAAATACATTGAAAATACATTGCAGCTCTAATATTGCGCCAATGAATTTGCCAATGTTGTACTAATAGGGTTAATGTATATACATATTACATATTAAATATTTAAAGCGCAACGTAATATATATTCGAGTCGGTAAGAATCGTCCTAGAAATGATTATTATTGTCCGTAAACATCACACAATAAATTTAAATTTGTAGTTTTTGTTGTTTCAATTTCTGCAAATTTTTTATTTAATCTATTTTATTTTGTTAAGTTTAATTTTAATTGTAGACCTACAATAAGTATAAATAGTGTATTTCTTATTTTAACTGATTTCAGCATCGATATTCCGTTAGAAATTAAGAAAGCACATTGTATCAGTACTTCTCCTTTTAGAGGATCTTTTAGATTTTGAAGGCAATGCAATAAAGGAAGAGAGGAGATATAGAAAGGACAATTTGACATTTTATATGTCGCTATCACCATTTATTGATATTTTTGTGAATGTGAGCGATATATGCATGAAGCTCTTTTCAAATCGATAAGTGACAACTTTATTGGAATTCTATATCTCTATTAGATACTTCTACAGTATTAATATTTTGAATTCTATAACAAAATATGTTGTTTTCTAAAAGGTATCTTCCACATCCACAGCGGCAAATATAGAAATCTAACGGATCGTTTGAAGATTACATTTTCTCAACTATACTGAAATAATGATTAAGTCGATAAGTAAGTGCACCTGTATTTAAAACGGCAAAAACACACAAATGTATATATACATATGCATATATGTAATATTATTGTTTGTAATCATAACTTTTGTTTAATCTTGCTTTTTTATAATTCTATAACAATTGTTAACAATTCTAATAAGTATATCTCAGAGTTGGATAAGTTAATGTCTTTTTTAAACTAACTTAAATTAAAGTTAATGACTTACAAAATTAATTTAGTTAAGTTAAAAGTTGCATGAACAAAAAACTAACTTAGTTAAAAGTTGCGTTAATTTTAAATTAAAAGTTAAATTTGAAAAACATCATTTATATAAATTAGAATGTCGTAATTTTTTAAAATGAGATTACACTAAATAAAAAACAATTACAATATAAATTATTAAATAATTTTAACATTTTATTTAGAAATTAAGTGTATATAAAATAACAACGAAATATAATTGTTTTTATATGAAAATGATTTTTTTTTTTAAACAGATAAATTTTAACTTATTGTTAGAAAAAAGTTAATAAGTTAATAAGTTAAATATATTTATATATGTTTAAAAATAACTGGTTGAAGTTAACAATTAACTCGTTTAAAATTACCTAAGTTAAGTTAAAAGTTATTATAACTTTTAAATCTTTAACTAGTTGCTGCTCAACCCTGACATATCTAAATAATTATTAAAATACAGTCGCATTAAATATAAACACAATTATGTAATATAGATATAGATCTGTGATTTGAAAAGAAAAAAATTATTAATTAAGAAATAAAGGAAAATGTGTGAGAAAAAAAAAGAAGGAGAGGAAGAGAAACAGAATAATAATGAAGTATTTTATAGAGTATCGAAATATCTATTAAATCATTTATTTTTTTTGTTTATGTAAAGTAAGAAAAAACAAACTTTTGTCAAATATTGATACTGTATTTACGTAAATAAATTAAAAAACTCATAATGATTATATTTTACAAGGATAAAGGAAAATATTTTAAAAAATTGATATCCTATTCTAATTCTTTCTTTTTAATAAATTGAAAGGGAAAATATGTTTAAGACATATTTTCTCATAATAAAAGATTTATTTTAGATAGATACAACTATTGTTAATGTAATCAAATTTATATTGTTAGATAACAGACATATCAAAGATAAAAAACTTGAAGAATTTATTTAAAAAACATTTATTGCTATATTTAATTATTTTAGAATTAATTTTTTATAAAATATATACATTATATACATATATAAGTATTTTATATATATGTTTACAGTATGTTACTATAGTCTAACAACTAATATTTATTTGTTATATTATATACGTAAGCATAATCAGAAATATAAAAAATTAGAAAAAATTGATTAGTAAATTTATTTGCAAAATGTTAATTTTAATGCTTTATTTGTAACAATATTACAAAAACAACAACGTTCATTTTGATATATTACAATTTATTATTTTATATAAAATTTTTATGAAAGACACACTAAATGTTATTAATGTCAAATTATTACAAATAAATAACTGTTCAATATGGGACGCTTTGGTATTGATAATCAGCGATTTATGGCAACAATTTCAACTCAAAATAGAAGATTCTTAATAACATTACAATGGAAATCAAAATAATTATAAATAGTATAGTAACAAATTTTTTTTTTGAATAACATTTCTTCTTAATGCTTCCTGTCTGCTTTGTATGTGATGTATGGCGTTTCATGTACGTGTTGTAACCGTCCAGATTCGTGAATTGTTTCATCTCAAAAAAATTCCCTTCTAGCTCCAACATTGAGATCTTAGAATTCTTGAGAAGTCTGAGGGGCACCGAACTTAGCTGTAAGCAATTGTTTTTCAACCGCAGCGTTTTCAATCGCGGACAAACAGCTAGATTTTCGGAGATGGTAGCGATTTTGTTCTGATTGAGATTGAGTTCGATCACATAGAGGCCGACAGCGGCGTTCGGCACGATCGTAAGCCGATTCCCGGACAGATCTAAAACGTTCAAGTGCTTGAGGCCGCAGAACATCAGTGGAAAGTCCATGATCTGATTGTTGGATAAATTGACCTGCTTCAAGCGGCTCAGATTTGATAGCGACGATGGGAGAAATATGATTTGATTTGCAGCGCAGTTTAGATATTCAAGGTTTTCGAACACTTCAAAATTAGCGGGCACGTAAGTTAACAGGTTGTGACTCAAATTCAGCGACTTCAACTGTGATGCTAATGTTCTAGGCTGTAAATGCATACGTTATTTAATAAACATACATTTAATTTTATTTTAATTCTTTATTTAATAAACATACATACATTTTTTATATATTTCTCTCTCTTTCTTTCCCTATCAGTCTCTAATTAATAAATAATCCTTATTTCTATGATTTTAGATATCAAATATTAAATTTAAAATGTACCTGATGACATATTTGGTGATCGCCAAGACTGGTGGTGGCGTCATTGTCAACTGTAGGCTGAGATTTCTCGGAAACAATATGCAGCGATTGCTCATTCCGTAGTTCATCCAATATTTTCAGCTCTCTAAACAACAACCAGGAAAATGAATTGTCAGGAAATTTGATAAGGCATTTTTTCCTTGCCAAGTCCACCTATGTAGAAATAATTTCAATAATTTGTTACATCGGCACTATTAAATACTGCTAAAGAGAAGTACACGTTTTGTTTGTAACGTACAACAATAACTAAACAATAATAATATTTGCCATCTTTGTATTGAAGAATGGTATCTCCACAACTGAAATCAATCTGCTGTTCCCTTATGCTATTATCGGATGCCGTCTGCTGTTTCTTTAGATTCCGACATTTTCTATCTTGTTTCTGAATTACAAACAGTATAGTTATCATAATCAAGTAATTGAGAATTAAACTAATAATCGAGCAAAACGTCGGGGAAAACAGAATTAATAGAATAATCGAGAAAATCATCTTTATTAAAAAGTAAATTAAACTTGACGTAGCTACAATAAAAGACATGATTTGCAACGAGAATTAGAAGTTGGGAATTTAAGGATACGCACAGACACGTCATTGACACTTTGTCTATTGTTTTATAGTTAAGAAATATTTATGTAAATATTAACATTTGGAAGAAAACTATGTATGTACACCTTTTTTCAGAACTCAGCGCGTATGTGAACAAAGTGAAGCGATCAGAACGACTATTAAATTTATGCATACGATACGATCAACTCAACAAGCACTTGATGATTAACGCGTTGTCACTATTGTGCTGCACTTTTTTTAACACTGTACTTTCTGATGGTCCCGTCGATGCGTTAGTTTCCGGTAAATTGCGTCTAAGAATGAATAAAAGTCTAGAGGTACGGCTGTTGTTAACTTGACATTGATTTATATTTATAAAGTCTCAGTTCTTTTACATATTTAAAATCGTTTTAAGTATAGTTTTAAAATGTTGCGTTACAGAGCCATATTGATTTTTTTTAAATGGACTTGAAATAAAAATAAATTATACATGGTATTCATATATGTAATATTCTTATATGTAAAACTGTCTTAAGAACAGTCTTAAGATGTCATAAACCAATCACAGAGCTGCATTAGTATCTTAAGATATTATTTATGACAATCCTATAACCGGTATTTAGCAGCAAGGCCGACACAGAAAGATGGTCGTAATTGCACGTTCCGACAAAGTTCATAAACGTAAATCGTAGTTGTAGATAAATGCACAATGATTTTACGTAAGCATATGTCCAAGGCCGGCGCAAGAAATGTTGACGCTCTAGGCGAATAAATAATATGCGCCTCTTCAGAACAAATAACATTTTAAATATTTTAAACATTCCACGCGAGAAAAAACAAAGTGCTTCCAGTTAACTTAGAAGAAACCGCTGACGTTATTTTTCCAAATAAGGTATATTATTAAACATACACACAAAATAAATATAAGTATATAATTGCCATAAAAAATTAAAAACTAGTCAAATTTTCTCTCTGCGTTTCATATAGGGTTGAGAGGGTCGTCATACACTAGCATAGACGTCTGCATTAGATTTTTTTTGCTTTTTCATATTTTTATAATTTAAAAAATTGTTATTATCTTTTATTGCATTGAATTCAAAAGAAACGTGCCTTGTAAAAAATTTTTCTTGTAAAATTAGCTTTATAAAGATTTTGCCACATTTAACTTTATTTATAATCTACTGCAGAAAACTGTATTTGTCCAGATTTCAAATGCGGTTTTCTGTAATAAACAAATACGGCCAAATGTAGCCAAACTTGGAATTTAGTATTAGAATTAAGGCTTCATCTATATAATAAGTTAAAAGACGTAACCTATATTTTCATTTTTTTGCTTTTAACATAGAAAAAGTAGAAACAAGTTCAGTTAGATCAATGGTTTGAACAATATTCTGTTCTATTAATAAAGTTGACAAATTAACAAGTCTGTCTTCCCAAGGAGAACAGAAAGATCAAAATGACATCAAAATGATATTAAAGTAAAATCAAATTTTAGTTTGTTAAAATGATGTCAAATTGCATAAATTTTTGATGTATTCTTGACCATTCCAATTTGCTAAAATGTTTTAAATACAATAAATTTTATTAATTAGCTTCATATATTAGAGAATGAAAAAGAATATATATATAACAAAATTGTGATTAAAAATATAAATTTGGAAACTTATTTACGATATTCCTAAAGCGGTCACCCATTCAAGCTACGAACCTTGTGGAATGTGCTTAAATTTTTTTTTTAATTTTTTCAGTTTTTTTTTACCAAAATTAAATTTTTACCAATTTTAAATTTTAAATTCAACCATGTGTGATAAAGTTAGTTTCCGAAGTATTATTTTCGAGAAATAATTATAAGATCGGAAGAGCACAC